GAAAGCAGTCTTAAGCAGAAAGTATATAGCAATCCAGGCATATTTAAAGAAGGAAGAACAAACACAAATGAATAGTCTAACATCACCATTATCAAATTTGGAAAAAGAAGAACAAATGAGGCCTAAAGTCAGCAGAGGGAGGGACATAATAAAGATCAGAGAAGAAATAAATAAAACTGAGAATAATAAAACAGTAGAAAAAAATCAATGAAACTAAGAGCTGGTTCTTTGAGAAAATAAACAAAATGATAAGCCTCTATCCAGACTTATAAGGAGAAAAAGAGAATCAACACACATCAACAGAATCAGAAACAAGAAAAATAAATATTACAGGTTAAGATCCTAGAAGCTGTGAAATTTTTCTATGGCCAATAATAGAAGGATGACCTGAATGTTCCTTAAAATGCCAGTGTAATTATTACCACAATAATAACTGAGGAGGAGAGCAAGTCATGAATGTCAGCTGAAGGGCTTCAGCAGCACAGGGGTGCGATTAGGGCTGCTATGTCCCAGACCACAGCTCCATTTCAAGACGTTTTTCTCCTATATCCACCACAGGCAAGAGGCACCTATTTATGCAAGACTATAAAACTCATAGAAAAGCTCAAACTATAGGCAGCATCAAGGGAAGCTTTCGCAGGGTTGATACATACCTGATCAAGTTTTGAAGTTTATTCAATCAGTTTTTTTTTTACTAGTTTAAAAAGGAAGAATATATTCAATTACATCTATTCTCTTGTTCTCCCTCACTCCCTCCCTTTCTCTAAGTGCCTGCACATTGTATACACACTCAATGAATTCAGTTGCCACTGCAATCAGTTTTAGCTGATTTTGCTTAAATAAGATTAGAAGTGCGTGTGTACCATTAACTTCTCCGTGGATCTCCTCTACTCTCTTTCCCCTGGCTTCTCTCCCTAGTGCCCCATTAGTACAGACACTCTTTGCACAACTAGATAGATACATTCTGCCTTTCCCCAGTTCTCTCTGTCTTGCCAAGTCTTCAGAAAGGATAGTGAGAGGATAAAAGGGGAATGAGAATCTGGACTCAGAACTACAGCAGGCTGACTTTGCCATTAGAGCACTGGAAAGAAAAGAGCTTTTGGAACAGCCACACAATGAAGAAGAAAAGTCAGCAGGTCATCCATCAGGCTTTCAAGTCTCATCATCAAACTGGGAAGCAAGGAGCCCCTTGGTCCCCAAAAGGATGGCCAGGAAGATATGGTCAAATCTACAACAAAATTAAAACTTCAGCAGCAAAGTTTGTGGGTCCAGCTGTAATGCTGCTGAGGGAGAGACTCACTTATTTCCAGAGGACTCTGATGTGAAAATAAAATTGGGCCAAGAAGGAGGCTGGGCTGAACATTAAGTTACCCATCACTTATCACTGAATTCTCCCATTTAACCCCAGAGGCTCAGAAAATGGGCTGTTTTATCAGGCCAGAGGGATATCCTACCTTTGTAGCAATGGAATGGTGAACCACAGAAAACTTCAAAATAGACTTTTTGAAGTCAATTAATATTCTGAGATGTTCTTGCTCAGCTCGAGATCTTGTTTCCTCCATCAGCCTCCCATGTACCTCCCCTTTGTGGGGACTGGAGAGTGACATCAGAATCACAACTGGTGACATCACTGTCACTATAGCAACAGCAGTGAGGCTACCAACAATTGAGTTGCCATAGAACCAGAGGAAGAGGGAAGACTCAACTCCAAAGCTCTTGCTTAGTCTGGAAGAACTAGCCTTGCTTTCTCCCAACTAATTTTCCCCTAACTCTAATTTTGGTAAGGAATAAGGGGGAAATTTTGTCAACGGATTCAACCTAATACAAGATACATGAGTTAACCCAGGTTAAATATGGGACTAAAGCATAATTTCCAGGAAGTGAAATCTCTCATCAAGGACACAAGATAAAGATTAAAATTGTTAATGAATTCAAAAAAAAAAGACTTTAACATCTGTAAACCTGAGCTGTGTTACAACCTTTCTTATTTAGGAAACGTGGAAGCCAGGTTGAAAGAAGTTTGTTCAGGTGCTTAGGCATAAACAGCACAAAGAATGACTTTAATACTGAAACACACAGAGGCTATGCTAGTACCCAGAAATGTAAGTAATTAACTGTCTAACTAAGCAGAACCCTTGTCAAATATATTGCTCTTTGTATGTCTAAGTTAACTGAATTTATTAAATTTATTAAATTATTTTTATTTATTAAATTTTTTAAATTATTTTTATTTATTAAATTTATTAAATTATACTGATCTGCTTCCAGGGGATTGAGACCCACTACCTAATCATGAGAAACAAACTATACTCAATATTTTTTAGATTAAAAATAGATGACAGGTGTAGCCACAAAGCCACCGTACACATTTTATAGGCTGGGCAGCTAACTGTAGTCCAAACATCCCAAAACTATATTCACATAAAGCTTGACCTTCCTAACAGCACACTGCTGCTCTGCTATAATCACTTTTCTTCTTTTTATTACATATTGTGATTAACCAAATAAACCAACAATTTGTTTATAGATACAAATCCTGTTTAGGTGATACTGTAGTATATTCAAAACTAAATTTTGTGTACAGTGGAAGAGGAGAGTTAGGAAGAAATTGTAACTATACCACCCAGGTCATTTTGTAAGCCTATTTCAAGGAAAGGGAGAAATAAAACTATCAGATCATCAGTTTTAACTAAGGTGTATTAGAAGGTAGTTAACAAATGATTTAGGGCACAAATTCTGAGACAGTGTGAATCTACAAGAATAATAACTGACAAGAAAAAATAAAATGTCCAAATTTGAATCTATTCCAGAAAATTTGTTCATAAAAATAAACAAAACAGATGTAAGTTAAAAGTACCTAATATAACCACTTACACACAGCATGAGATTTCCCGGTACCTTGCTGAGAGCCTCAGCCAAAGAAATTCTCCCTTTGAATATCCAAAGCATTCTATCTAAAAAACACAGTATCATATTCTCTTATACAATGACTTATTATGCACATCTTGTTGTCCCTATTAGACTGATGTTTGTTTTATGTTTCTATCACCCACAGCCTCAACTAGGTAATTTTTAACTATCAGTCAATAAATATTTTTTGGGTGACTAACAGAGTGCACTCACATGCTTGCTCACTTGCTTTCTCTCTCTCTCTCTCTCTCTCTCTCTCTCACACACACACACACACACATAGAAACAAAAGAAGCCAGGAATTTGGTTTTGCCACGTGCTCAATATGAATTAAGTGATAGAACTAATAAAAATCTAATGATTTATAGGAATGTGATATACAAACCAAAAGCAGCTAGAATCTCAAATTTTCCTTGTGGCAATTACACTGTACTTGAAATATATCATAAAATTTATTTTGAGATGGTCCTAAACACTTAGGAAGGCTTATTGATTACTTATTATTTCACAGTACTAATAAAGAATTGGTAATTAAAATTTCTGAAGTTAAGGGTCATAAAAATTTACATGAATTGCTGCCCCTAAAATTTTTATCTAGAAAACAGACCCTGAAATGAATATTCTTTCCTACTTCAAATAGAAGTAGGATATTTTATAATTTGAAAGTACTTTTTTCTAAAATGATCACCACTTTTTAATATGGAAAATAAGTTAATATAACTAATACATTCACTTCCACTTGGAAAGTTTCATAGCACTTCTTATCTCATTTTTCACCCATTAATATCTTTCTTAAGCAGCTGTCATACATAAATATCAGCCAGGGTGCCTACCTGTGAAGAACAAATTAACGGAAAAATAAACAAAAAATATGGACATGAAAAGGAAGAGTGAACAAATCAAATGACAATGGCACATATAAGTAATTTAAAATTTCAGAGTAAAGTGAAGGTAAATTTTTAAAGAAGTAGAACCTGATTGTGAATTTTAAAATATGAGGATTTAAGATAAATGACACAGAGAACAAACAGTATATGGCATATTCAGCAATCAGCAGATATTCTGGTTGAAACAAACAAACACTTAATGTTGGGAAGAGGAGTAAAGTTAGTTTAGAATAATAAACTAGAATTAATTTACAGAGACTACTGAAAACCAAGATAAGAAATGTGGCTTACAATCATTAACTGCAGCTTTTAGAGCAATAAGCTAACATGAAAAAGGAAGCATTTAGGAAGAGTCATCTTGTAGTCACATGTAAGATGGCTTTATTGATAAACAGAATGGAAGTTGGGAAACCTATTAGGAGGTGAATAATAAATTAGGGTTACACCAGTAGAAAAAGGAAAAAAGGAATAGATGTACTAATTACAGCAGGCAAGGCAAGAGAGTCTAACAAACAATACTTGAAGATTTTGTATCTAAGTACCCCAACAAACAGAAAAAAATATGGGTTTTGAATCAGCCAGGTCTGGCTCTAATTTGTGCTGTGTAATTTTAAAGAACTTATTTAACTTCTCAGAGCCTTAGTTTGCTCAGATATAAAAAGATATTTACCTTGTTTGGGTGTTGAGACAATTAAATAAGAAAATGCATAAAAGCACCTGGGCCCTTGGAACACAACCGGCACTAAATAAATATGACGTTACCTCTCTCCCTCAGCTTCCCATTCTTTATCCCTTAACAAATCTAAGAATTGAGCAATACAGTAAGTAGTCCACAAGTTGTCATTTCAGAGCTCATAAAACTGAGTTAATGAGAAATTAAATGACTAATTCAATGGCTTACAACCAGCTACTTTCACTGTTGGCACTAGTAGATAAGATATACTGGCCATAAAATATATAAAAAGTAGTGGGCATAGAATCTTCTTTAAAGATATGTCCTCTAATAATACAATTAAGAATCTGATCCCTAAATTTAAACACATTTGAC